TCAATTGTAGGACGATGCCTGTTACTCCGAAGCTTACCATCGCTCACGAGGTACGGGATGTCGTCCTTGACCTGTAAGTGTACGAATCCCTGCTTTGGTGTAACCATGAAAGGTAGTTTACCAGGCATCCAGTGAAAAGCATATCCCATCTTCATGCACCTTCTCCCTATCGACAACACTGTGGGTGTCTCATCCAACACATGCGGCTTGACAGTCTCGTCCAACTCGCCCACGACTATCTTGGCCACGTCAGATGTGTAGAACCATTTGCGGTCTGAAATACAATCTCGTCATCATCTTTTACAATATCGACACCCAGGCTCTTTGCCTTGGCTCGTCCGATGAGATCATGACCGCATCCGGTGTCCATCAACCATTTCACCCGTTTGCTGATGCACGCTGACCTTGCGAACACATTCTTCGGCAGACCATGCTGTTTCTTCCAGTCGATGGCCGCTTCCTTGATCTCGTCCTTGTTTCGATCATATTCGAACACGATGGTGCTCTCCTTGGTCATCGGGAAGTAGTGTTTTCTGTATACATCCCCCACCACTTCTTCCAGTATCTTTGCTCTTATCTATGATCGCTGGACTTGATAGGCTGATAATTCTCGATGATCACTGCTTTTAAGCTTCTTCTCATCGACATGCACGTACTGGTAAGGACCATCCCCATTGCCATACCACTCTCCCTTTCGTCCCCATTGCCTACTCTCGTCTTCAAGATAGGTGATTTCCCCGTTCTCGTCAACGTCGAGTACTTCTTTGAACCATACCATTTTCTCGGGGATCTCGGACTCGCCAGACCATCTTGACGATTCACTCATTGCATCGTCATCGCGTTCGTGGTAGACGGTCTCGGTTTCGTCCGGCTCGACATGATCAACGTCCTTCTTGAAGCTGACCTTTCCCGCAGGTGCCGATTGCTTCATGACTATCGCAGGCATGGCGATGGCCCTTCTCACAATCGCTGGCGCTGCGTTCTTGGCGGCAGCCTTCGACATGGCTTGTGCCTTGTCACTTGACGTTGCCGGAGCTGAGATGTTCTTGATGAGCTCGTGCTTATATTTGCAAGCACTCCCCTTCTCACACTTTCCCTTCTGGAACGCAAAGCATGCCCCATCTTCCTTCTTTGGTGATGATGATCTGGATTTGGCTTTACCTTTCCCTTTTTGTTCTCCAGCTTGTGTTCCGTCTTCTTGCTGTGAGAAAAATGTGCATTCATTTCCCTTCACGCATCCCTTCTCCGCTTTGAAGTGATACCAACATGGGTTCTCTTTGTTTCCACTCGGACTCTTGCCTCTGTCGTTGGCACCGTCGGACTTGCCGCTCTTGCCAGCGTGACCCTTTGCCTTGGCCTTCGGGAGCACAGGAGCGGCGTCAGGTCCATTGGATTTCCCCTTCTTGCCTTTGCCACCCTGGCCCTCCTGCTTGCCAGCAGCCGGAGCTGCATCTTTGCCGCCTGATCTCATCATTGACTTGACCGACTTCTCCTTCATGTCAAGCATCAGATCCTCTCGATCCGATTTGATTTGGTGGTCGATCAATGCCAGTAAGAATTCATACGACTTTTGAGGATGTTTGTCTGGCAGCCGCTGATAGGCATTCAGACCAAATTCCATCTTCCTGCTCCCTTTGATCTTCCTGTATAGAATATCTCTGAGAGCCAGCATGCTGGGTCTATCCTCGCTCCTCATCTTCAGCAGCAAATCATACCACTTGTTCCTGAATGCAACCAAATTCTTGTCTCCAGGGAAGTCGAGGTTGAATAAGTGCTCGATGTGGTAGACAAGGTCCGTTCGATCAGATGTCCTGAATGATTGCATAACCAATGCCACCAACTCTTGTCCCTTCACGATCACCCCTTGTTGATGTCGTAGTTCCGAGTGTCGCGTAGCGTCGAGGTACACGTCTTTGGCTTCGTCAGGTGCCTGTCTCAACATGTTCTGCATTCCCATGGCCATTTTGATATCTATTGTAGCGAATCTATCGCCGCCGGAGTCGCTCAGCAGATTGAGGTCTGGGTTTAACCCAAGAGCCTGTTCCAACCATTTCGTCCATGTGTCGGTATCTGGATCTGCGCATGCGCTTAGAACATTCATCAGCAATTGCACTTTCCAGTTGTCGAGCTGATGGATCTTTGGCCAAGGGGGAATAGATACCCTCTCAGCTTCCTTCCTTGAAATCCTCGGTCTCTCGTTCTTGATCTCGCGATCATTCCTCAATCTTCTGCGCCCCCTCCGTGTCCGATTGTCATCTTCTTCTTCTTCCTCGTCCTCCTCATCCTCTTCGTCGTCGTCATCCTCGTCCTCATCGTCGGGTGGATCACCTGGAGGTCCTCCCCCACCACCTGTTAGGCTCAATTAATCGTCGATCTGGCCCTTGTCGATTTCCATTGGGCGAGAATCCACCGTAATCCAATGGGGGTGTAGTACCGTCGTTTCCACCTCCATTACCACCACCACCAGTCGTAGCAGCGGATTGTGGGACACGCCCAACAACCCCTTGCATCTGTGATAGTACATCGATCATTGGATCACCGAAACACGGAAAGAGAATCGAACCTGGCACTAGCGACGAATTTAGGGATCAGATTAGATGATGATCACGATATAACCCAGTCACCTTCTTGTCTTCCCTAGCCGAACTAGTTTGGGGTCCTCCCTCAGCGCGTTTCACTACTGCTCGTTCACGATGTCCATCTTTACTGCTCGAGGCTTCCTGTGTCTCCAGCTTCTTGAGTGTCCTGAGCTCCTCATTATCCGCATCGAGCTGACGAACGAAGCTCTCTTCATGTTTGAGCGTCGCCTCCCGCTCCTTCAGTTGTCCCTGAAGTTCGCGCATCTCCTCGAGGTACTCGTCATACACTTCTTTGGCTGTCATCTTCCAGTACTCGGCCTCTTTCGATTTCTCGTCCATCGTGCACCGTTCTTCTGGTTTTGCTTCTCTGACCTGGGCCAATTCCAAGATTGCATCCTGACGATGACCACCTTCGATAGCAATCATCTGGTTCTTCTTCGACACGTCGGATTCATACTGTTTGATGATCTCTTCCTTCTCGCGAAGCAAACACTCTGCTCTTTTCGATTCTTGCTCTGCGAAAGTCGTAACGTCATTCAGTCTCGTCATCAGCTGCTCCCTGGAGTCCTCCATCGAGTACGTCTCGGGGCGCTTGACAAGTGCATGTTCCAACTGTGATTTCAGACTTCGAACCATCTCCTCTTCGTTGAACTTCTCGATAGATGTAGACGATTCAATACCTCTGATCTGTTGCTGATAAACTGATATCTGTTGCGAAGCCTCACGGTGTATCTGATTTGCATGTATTGCTGATTCCTGTGCAGCCGACTTCTCGCTTGCCATATAGGATCTCATCACTGCAATTTCCCGTTTCTGCTCCATTATAGTTCCCTCAGCTTGTCTCATCTGTAGCATCATAACATTCGACTCCATGTCCTTCTTCTCCCCGTATTGATATGCGTTTATTTCCACCTTGCGCATCTGTTGGGCTTCCTCCTCAAACTTGCGCCAGGCCTCCGCCATATGGTGTTGGTGATGACTTACAAGATGTCCCGATTGCTTGCTGGCAATCTCACATCGTCTCTCCAGCTCTTGGATCCGGATGGTGCTCCCATAGTCTTCTTGGTGAAGATTCGCCATTGCTGCAGACATTTCATCAAGTGTCTTCTGATACTCCCCGATCTCCATCTCCATCATATTCTTCTCTTTTATCGCGGCGCGAAACTCGGCACTCGTGGGTGACTTGGACCTCCCACCTTTCGATGTTGACCTCACGCCCTTCTGCGACGTCCGCGGTGTCGCAGGCGAAGATGATGATCTGCTTGGTGGAGACTCTCTTTGCTTCGACTCCTGATGAACAGCAATCTGTTTCCATGACCTCGTAGGTGTAGACATGTCGCTGAATAGCGCGGATCCTCCGCTCGCAGGTTCGTCCTGTGAATCTGCAACCATGTCCATCACCGCAGGAAGGGCCATCGATCCATTGGATCCCTCTGAGCTGTCGTTCCCAAAAGTTGCAGTACTTGGGCTCGCTGAAGATGCCATTGTACCGTGTAGGTTATTGTCCCTCTATAGTTCCTGTACCCGCAATAAACCAGCTGTCTCTCCGTCCAGTGTAGAGCTTGCCGATACGGCTGATAACTTGTCAAGAGACGGCAAGGTGACGTCCCGTGGGACGCTGTCCACCGAGCCCTCCAGCTTTGTACCCAACCACGTAGAAAGGTGTATACGGTCAAACCGTTATAGCCGAACCCGTGTAAACTGTTGTAAGGGATAAGAACCAATAACCATGATGGTGTTCCTGGCAGCTGCAGCGCGAATGAAGTATTTTCCACTCTCTATGGTCGATCACGTACAAACTTAGTTCATGCAAGACCTTGAGCCCTACTTGTGACTTGAGCCAAATTTGGCAATCAATGGAACAATGTAACCAACACCAACACGGACCTCAGAACAGCTTCCCAATTTAGGCACGGGGCCAGGAGGGTTTTAACACACTCACACACACAACCACAAACACACACTCACACACACACACAAACACACACACACACACACACACACACACACACACACACACACACACACACACACACACACACACACACACACACACACACACACACACACACACACACACACACACACACACACACACACACACACACACACACACACACACACACACACACACACACACACACACTCACACACACACACACACACACACAAACAAACACAAACACAAACACAAACACACACAACACACACACACACACACTCACACACACACACAAACACACACACACACACACACACACACACACACACACACACACACACACACACACACACACACACACACACACACACACACACACACACACACACACACACACACACACACACACACACACACACACACACACACAAACAGACACAAACACAAACACAAACACAAACACAAACACAAACACACACTCACACACAGACACACAAACCCCCTAATCTCCGCAGCTGCCCAGTTTCTGTTCTCGCAGAAAGCCTTGCGTTTGATTTGTTTTGAGGATTCTGAACCATGGATGGCCTGCTGCTCCGTGTCACACCGCACAACGCTCGCCCAAGCACCTCAATGATGATGTGGGTCTTGAAAAACCACTCCTCGTCCACAAGGCCCGTAAACCGCCGCAGTAGCCGCACGTTCCTCACAGCTTCGGCTCTATGCAAAGAGAACATTGGGGGGCTGGAACCTGGATCTCCAGGGAAGCTTGAGCTCCCCAGCCAACACCCAGTGGTCAAGGGTCCACTGGCCAAAGATAAACCTTCTCTCGATACATGACCCAAAGCTCGACAAAGCCTTGTCCAATGTTTCGGAAATCCCCCGCTCGTTGCGCGTCGGGGCGCTGGGGGCTCACAGGGCCCAAAGGGTCGATGCGCTCCCAGTTGTTCAGCACGCAGCCCGCGTAGTCCAGCGCCTGGTGAGACCCTCCATGTCTCTCCGCACGTTTGTAGAATTCACACACCGCAAAGGCACAGTAGGACCCAAACCTCGAAATTCCCATGAGCTTGTTTCTCTGACCTCTTTATTGGCTGAACATAAAGGGACACCTGCAAAAGTGTAAGCACCTTGTTTACCAGATCACCAAAGGGTTGGAAAACCGCCGGCCTAATCTGTGATTGGTGACGGGCCTCCAGCGACCCGTCCTAGGCAATACTACTAAATTGTTGCGGCGCAATGAGTTCTTCCCCTATGTACTTAATTTAGCTAGGGAACATTAGTCCAACTCCTTCCACCCATGAAAGTCTGAAGTGGAACCACTTGGTGGCTTCTGCTTTAAGTGTTGGAAGGAAGCATCGGGCTTATGGTGAGGGGGGGAATTCAGGCTTGGAGTGTTTAGCGTGTTGGGCGTTTTGGGAGCTTGCCTTAAAAGAGGCCGCCTGGGTAGTGATTGATTCCTGAAGAAACCTTCAGCGAGGTTCCAAATTTTGTGGGTTATTAAGGGCATCCAAGGGCAAAGTCCCCGTGTCGGGCTTCATGATAATTTTCAGGAGGGTAAAATCAAAATGAGGCCCGCCCAACACCCGTTGAGAACAACAAACATATATCTGAAACTCCGTGAATCGCACTGTGGCAGACAACTTCTCATGCATTTTGTTTACCTAGGAATGTCGTTCAATCACCTAAATCTGCGCTTTCTCTGCCTTACTTGTTTTAAGAACCGGCGATCGCCTTCTGATTGCTTTCTCATAGGCTGTTCTTCGTTCCTAAGACCCAACACATCAGACACAAAAGGGAATCCGGAAAACAGAGGAGACCTGGAAGCCAATAGAAACCAAAACAAAGTGACACGAAACGGTAAAAAAGAGAGCAACACATGGAATTCAACAGCAAAACGCCAACAAAGAGACCAGCACGGCAAACAAAACATCAAAGAACCGAAGAAACCAAAAGAAAGGAACTAGTCCAAAACGACACAGAGCAAGAAACAAACAAACAAACAAACAAACAAACAAACAAACAAACCAGCAAACCAGCAAACCAGCAAACAAACAAACAAACAAACAGACAGACAGACAGACAGACAAACTGAAAAATCTCAGGTACCGAAGTACCTAAACTAACAGATCACCCTAAAGTGACTCTGAAAGTTAGCAGCGATCCTTTCACTCTCGCAGGCTTGAGCCAACCAAAGTTGGCAATCCATGCAAGTACTGAACCATGCATGAAGGAGGAAAAGTGCATCCATTTTGGCACGCCCCCTTGGATGCATACAAAGTTTGTATGCAGACAACACCAATGCAAAGTTGACAGAAAAGTGCATTTCGATCAGAGTCTCAAAGATCTCACTCGCAAAAGTACAAACCACAGAGAAGGTATTGAGCATCTAGCAAAGTGCGACGCAGGCGCCACACAAAGTGTCTGCCGTCAAAAATATTCTCTGACATTGATGGAAAGTCTGAGTGACTTGATCCATCTGAGGCTTGCAAAAGCTCCAACTTGCAAAATCTCTTCTCGCACGCAAAGTGCCTAAAGTCGTGCTCTCAAAGCATGGTACAAAAAGTCCATTGGAATTTTTTCAGGGCCTGCAGAAGTCCGCCTCTGGGCATTGGACTGGAAGACGCATGTCACGAATAAAGTTCACTTCGACTGAATTCAAACTCCAACCTGTGAACCAAAGTGTAAGACTTCTCATGAGTCCTCAGGACGACAAGTCCGTTCAAAGCGCCTCGATCCCGGCTGTCAGCAAAGTTCAATGTGAACTTTGGAACAACTAGCAAAAAGTCATGCCAGTGTGGGTTCCAAAGTCGCCCTTGCTGCCTCCAATTGTTGAAAGTACTCCATGAGGGCCGAACTCAAAAAGTCACCACATCAGAATCAGCGACAAGTTGAAAGTATTTGCCTTCATGCGTGCTGATTCCCAGATTGAAAGTGAAGAAAAGGTAAGACGAGCGTGGTGAAAATGTAAAGTTGGGCATTCCTCCTGTCCATGGAAGTTGCTCCGGGCCCAAATCAAAGGTACCTCTCTCCAGTAGAGGCTGGATCACAAATTCATCAAAAGTGATCCTTCGCAAAGTCAACCACAGCTGAAAGTTGCAGTAAGTGTGCTGGGGCAAAATTGGTGGCACACCTTGGAAAAGTTCCTGATGGTATATGAAGCCAGAAGTCCGCTGGAAAACAGAAAGTTCCGCCCTTGTGTATACCTGCGGATTGGCCTTCTCAGGAAAAAGTCGTCCCATGATGTCTTCATCCAACCAGCGCCCAGCAAAGTTGCCAAAGTGCTCGATCTCAGGCTTCCAAACTTGTTCAAGTTGATGTTCTTGACGCAAAGTCTCAGTGAAGGACCGAAAGTCATGCCACTTGTTGTAGTTGGAAAAAAGTCGCAAAGTGCGTGGGCAATCCCCTCAAAGTGAGGTTGTTGCCTCGAGACTCGTCCTCAGAGCTCATGGCAAGGTAGATATACCGCAAAAGTTGGCAAGGACCCAAAGTCCTGCTCTATCCGGTGTGAAGTCAAACCATCCACGAGTGCAAACAGGATCAGTGAAAGTCACAAAAAAGGTGACGACGGCGGCGTCACAAAAGTTCACTCATGCAACTCAAAACAGTTCTACTGCAAAACGGCAAACCCACTGAATTAGAGCTTAGGTGAGAAAGCGGGGTCATGCAACTACATGGGAGATCATCATGCAAAAAGTCCTAAGGTAGGCAAGCGCTTATCCCAAGTGTGGATAAGGAAGACGATACAACTGTCCAACCCAGGTTTTCGCATTCAAGAAGTGAGGGACTCAGAACAGGCGCCCTGGGTGGATTTTCGTTTTTCATTTCGGATGTTGAGGTTCCCCGTTCTTGCCGAACCCACTTTCGCATAACTGGACAAGCTCCTGCATGTACAAGTGGCGAAGCTCAACATGCTTCGTCTTTCTGGAAGTCCCAAAACGTCCTGCCATGCTTTTGCCAGCTGACGAGTCCGTGTGGACTGTCAAGTTGGCTTTTTCAAAAAGTCTTGACTCAAGTACGAGTGAGCGAACAAACAAGGCATCAGAAGCCCCAGCCCCGATAGCATCAAGTTCGGCTTCCCCGCTGCTAAGTGCCACAGTTGCTTGCGTGCGGCTATGCGACAGCAAGTTCACACCAAGTACAAACAGGGCTACTCCTGAAGTGCTACGGCGGGTGTCGCGACACCCGGCCCAGTCCGAATCTACGTACGTGTTGATGTCAAGTGACCTGCGCTTGTCGTGAAGTCTGACTGTAGGCGCCAAGTGCTGCGTGAAGCGCTTTGTGCCAAGAAGGTATCGACCTAAGTGACGAGGTCGCGCCCAGTGGTCAGTTGTTGGTGCTGAAAGTCCCCGTGAAAGTTCCTTCACAGCAAACATGATATCACACCGAACATTGCACAACCACAAAAGTTGACCAACAAGTCGCCTGTACCTCTTGCGTTCATCCTTGGAAAGTGGTTCCGAAACACCTTTGGTTTTCAAAGTGTCAGTTCCAGGGGTAAGCGCAGGCTTAGCATTCAACAAGTCAAGTTCCTTCACAATGTTCTCAACATACGACTCAGACATTGAAAGCTCAATGAAATCACCTGTTCGCCTGATGTTCCTACCAAGAAAAGTAACTTGGCTGCCTTCAGTACGTTCACCTGTCACCTTCAAGATCAACTCCTTCCGCAAGATGCTAATCAAGTCATCAACATCAGGTTTGCAACCAAAGAACATCAAGTCATCAACATACGCCAACACGTAAAGTCCCTTGGCTTTGTGCACATACAAGTTCAGATCGCTCTTCATTCTTTGAAAGTTGTTACGCTCCATGACTGAGGCGAAGTGGTCTTGCCAAAGTCTTGGTGCGTTACGCAATCCATACAGCGCACGCTTCAACTTCCACAAAGTCTTCCCTTCAGGGTAGTACTCCAGCGGAGGAATAACAAGTATTTCCTCGCCAGTGATAAGCGCATAAGGAAAGCCGTGGATATGTCAGCGCAAGTGACAGTCCAGTTGAAAGAAGATGCAAGTGTCAACAATAACTTCAAAGTGACAAGTGACGGAGCGCTTGCAAACGTGTCGTCCAAGTCTTCAACCTTTTGGTCAAATCCACGCACAACAAGTCTGCAACGCACAGTGCCATCAGGTTTGCAAGTCTTAACCCAACGCGAAGAGATCGCGCCGTTAAGTTGCTCTTGCGTAAGTTGATCGACACTGACCTCTTCAATCACGTCAAAGTCCAACATCGACTTCATCTCCTTTGTCATACCAGCAAGTTCAAGTTCTCTTGGAAACTCCGTGTCGTACCACAAGTGTGGGCTCTCAAGTGTCTTCAAAAGTAACAACTCGGACTCATCTTAGTTGACCACAACAGGAACTTCAAGCGGATCCTTTGTGGTTATAGCTGAGATCCGAAAGTGCTAACTTATTTTGACTCCATGAGACGCCTGCGGCATCAAGGTCTTTGCCAAATCATGTTCTTTCATGATTGAGGAAAACATCGGAAACCGTGTGGCACACCACGACATGCGGTGCACTCAAAGCTAAGCACCCCGCCTTGCTTCAAGGCTGACTATACAAGGCTTAGAAGCAAATCTTGGCTTTGTACACTACTTCCATCCGGCGTGTCCTGAAAGAAACATCTTGCATCTCCGAAGGTTGAGCTTGGCCGCTCTTTGCACACTGCAAATCTTCACAAGCCGATCTTGCACATGCTCACAGTGTATGGCATGATAACATGCTCCAGTCTTCGTATAAATAACCAGCTCATCACCTCCAGACGCACGATCTTTGAAGTTGTTCTCTGCTTCCTCCGGGGTGTGCTTCACATCGATGCACTTGTCTCCCGGCGATTTGGCTTGCTCAGCAAAACGCCACAGAAACATCAGCATGGCGCCGCATATGAAAATGCATCCGCCACACAAGAAAATGAAAATGCATAGGAAAACAAAATCCCATGTCTCGAACTTGTCGATCGGGCTCACCGGGCTCAAGGCGTCTCCATTTGTACCACGGGTCATGCCGCAGATAAGGGTCGCTCGCAAGAATCGCTTCGCCACAACGGCGTTGCACCCTGCCTCGA